CTTTCATGATAAACACAGGTATTACTTGAATGTTTTAAAATTTAGGTATGGTATTTTTCTTAAAAACCAATTTTCGTCTACATTTAAATGTATGAAAAGTCTGAATATTAATTAAATAAACTTCATGACTTTTTCTGAAGTAATAAAAAATAATTTCTTTGATTAGATTTCTTTTATTCACATTTATTAAGGCAACAGCTTGAAAAGTATCGCTGTGCTTTATATGTTTATTTTGTAATATGAACAAGTGTTAATTTGTTCATAAAATAATGCTGTTTCATTATTTATTAGTGTACCGAGTATCGACACAACACAATTTAAAAACATTGTAAGGAGTCATTTTATAGGGTTCCGTACCCGAAGGGTGCCAACGGCCCTATTACTAAACCTCCGCTGTCCGTCCGTCTGTCTGTCAGCTGTATCTCATAAGCCGTAATAGGAAGAGAGTTGAAATTTTCACAGAATGTGTATTTCTATTGCCGCTATAAAAACAAATAATAAAAAACCAAGATGGGGAATTTCAAAAGGCCGCCATGCAAATAAAAAGAAATAAATTATGCTGCAGTTAGTCAGCGTTTTCAGGTCTATTAATAAGAATATTAATAATAAGAAGTATTTAAAAAGTACATAATGTAGTGTTATATCTTGTAAGATGGTGTTGACTACTGAACCTTTTGTGTGCGAGTCTGACTCGCACTTTACCGGTTGTTTTTGTTTTTATTATCTAGAACTAACTATAAAAACAGTATAAAAGTTATCTATAAACACAGACAACATGTTTTGAAGACTATTTCATAGTTTTATTTCAATTTTTTTTAGATTTGCCCATAATATCTATTTAAATAAAAGATTAATAGAAACACTAAAAAAATAGATTGGCTGAAAATGCTTTTGGTATTATTTGGAGAAGACACGGTATAGATATGGTATTAACCGGTTAAAAAAGAGATAAATATATCATTACATGACAATTTAAAATATGCTATTAGTACATTGATTAAATGCAATCACAGCATGCCTAATAGTACAAGTAAAAATAAAATAAAGTTTAGAGAAGAATTTAAATTAATTAGAATAATATATAATTACAACAGTACAATAAAATTAAATGAAATATAAAAAAATAACTAAGAAAAATTTCCACCGCCACACGTTAATTATTTTAGTTATTTTATTTTTAAATTTATTAAATATTTCGCGGATAATGTCTAACTAAAATCTAATATTTAAAATTTAAGTTTAAAATTTCGTTGCCTATTTGATCTTATTTAATATAAAATTTATTACATATATCATTAAATTGCATACTTACATATATTTAGAAACTTCGCAAATTTTAATTCAAACACTTCTCAATTACAACCACAGTCACAAAATATAAAAAAAAACCGCGCCAAAACATCGATAAATGCGGTGGAAGCGCGCACTATAACGGATAGCGTAGAACTGAAGCATCAAGCAAGCAAGTGAGCTGTGAAGCAAATTGTATACATTTTGTGAGAGGTTAAAACTGTGAAAAGAAGAATAAACCTTTGCAATTACAAGCGTATGCAATTTGCATAATTATTTTTCAAAAATGTAAACGGTTTTAATATCATTAAATGCAATAAATAAAATCATTAGTGGTGAATATTAGCATTTTACATGCTACTAAACGAGGGTAATGAATGTTTAAAATAACCTGTATGCACCTAGGGCATTGAACCTAATTATCTTGGCTGAACAGTAAATTGAAAGTAATTACATTAAATGTACTAAATAATTAATTGATCTGTATCATTACTTCATAAAATATGTAAAATCGAAATTTTATTAAATAATAATTAAGAAACAGTACATAATTTTGAACGGTAATGATGACTGATATAAAGTATAAACATTTTATATTTTTTGGGCTACTTATTATATTAAATTTACTTGGTTTTGACATCCTTGAGGATCCTTATATACTGAATACTAAGTAGATAACGGTCGTAAAAGGTTTTTTTTGCTATTGAAGAGAGATGATAATATATTGACATACATACATACCTACTCAAATGTGATTTATAACCTGGAAAAAATAAATTAAGTACACCAAATATCTACTGCTCTTTTCAGCAGTTAAAACGTGTTGTGTACTTATGTACGCATGTAAGAAGTTATACTTCTTTGGCGTAACAGAACAAAAATAGCTGAAGATTTCATCCCGTATGTCACAACTCTTTGTAAAAGGAATGATAAATTAATAAAAATAATTTTTTTTTTTTATCTCCAATGATATAAAACACGTGTTATAGATTTATGAATATTTGAAAACCTAATTTGAACATAGTTATAAGTTTTCACTGGAACTGGACTCTGGAGAGACAGTTATCAGCTAACTTCATCATGTCGCTTTTTCGCTGTCGGCGTGCGCGCACATTGTAAAAATTTTACTCTCATATTTTTTTCAAACGTGCCTAAAGAAGTAAAACTTCGAAAAGTGTTACAAAATATGTAAAAGTTCATTTACGTATCGAGTGCTATGTTAAATTACTTACTAATATTGAAATTAATTTAGATAAGAAGTAAAATCTCTCGTCACAAATGTCGTAACACTATTGTGCAAAGATATTAATCATTCAGACACGCAACCTGCTATTGTTGTGTGAAATTGATTTTTTTTTTAATTCAAATTGTACTTAATACAAATAATATACAATTTTCACCATTTTTTAAATAAATTCGAAGTAAGATAGCTATAAGATATGTTCCCTCCACGACCACCGACACGCCGGCGTTACAGCTAACAATAGATTTCTTAGAAATTTAATTAATTTCTTAAAAAAATTGCTGATAGAGAGTTATACGTGGATGTGGGTCCCGCCGGACAAAACAGGAATGAATACACGCTAAAATCCAATGGTGGCGTCATTGGTTTTACGAGGCTCTAAACTCTAAAGGATCACTTTCGCATACTACAATGGCACTCAGACGTTATGGCAGCCACTTTCACTCATAAACCAACAAATGAAAGCTCATACAATAAACAAATTGCAATCAGTTTAGTAAGTTTTGCAGACTTTCAACAGCAATGTCCTTCCATATTGGGTCATGTTGTAGTATTATGTCATCTAGGTTTCAGGACAAATAATTATAAAATTAATTAAAAAATGAAATAATGCGTTTCTAAATCATAAATTTCTTTTATTGAAAAATTAGCCCGTAGGTAATAAGACTGTCCTAAATATTCGTAGATGCCACCACAGATCAAAACGATTAAATTCAATGAGATTTAGTTTTATTAAATACAAAAAGAATTTTGCCGTATTTTACATCATATTTATAAATAATAAATAAATAATCGACAAATGCCATCAATTAATTCTCCTTAAATTCTTAAAATTCCTCAAATTGGTTTCCAAGTCTATTCAAGGCAAAGAAAAAAACAATTCAATTTATATTATTAACAGTTAAGTTCGGTACAATCTTCACAGCGATTAAGAAAAAAGAGCTGACCTCGACAACCAAAATATATATGTTATATTTTCAACGGACTTCTAAAAGGAAGAGGTTCTCAATTCGACTGTATTTTTTTCTTTTTTTTATGTTTGTTACATCAGAACTCCGTCATTTATTAACCGATTTGGACAATTTTTGTGTTGTTTGAAAGTGTATACTTCCAGATTGGTCCCATTTAAATTTCAAAAAAAAAATACTACCCCTAAGGGTGGAAAAATAGCTAATGATGAATTTAACCTACTTCTAATTGTCATATTAACTTGAAACTTTGCAAGTGTTTCTATTTCCGTTGATAGTACAGTGGTTCGGTATTGTTGACCTGATCTGATGGTAAGGTCAGAAGGTGGATAGGTGGAACTCTTCAACGGCTAATAGTAGATACTTTGAGTTTGGGCTTATTTTGTTTGATTTGACAAGCCTAAAAAGAAAAAAATAAAGACTTTTTAACGAAAAAATAAAAACCGACTTCAAACAAAAGTACTAAAAAGTAAAAAATAACTGATTGGTAGTTTTCATTTACTATACATACCTAATCAAATATTTTCGAAGTCGGTGTGCTTTGGCTAAGTAATTAAAGCCTACCTATTAAATACATACCTAATCAAATATTTTCGAAATCGGTGCCAGCCCATACAAAGCAAAGCACACTGACTTCGAAAATATTTATATTTAATAATTTACTAAATTACAGTTGACTACGTAAATCTTCACTCTGCTTATAACTGCTAACTTCATATCATTTCCATTTATTACACTAGCGCTATTTCGGTGAGTGTTCGAACAATAATTTGCTGTTTACAAGTGGACACTTTTTCAACTAATCCCTCATACAAGACGGTTCTCCTTACTTCCACCCTCCATACTTTTGAGTTACCACTATGGAACACTCACCGAAATAGCGCTAGTGTAGGAAATGGAAATGATATGAATTTAGCAGTTATATACAGAGTGAAGTGAGCTGGGTTAAAAAGTTTAATATAATTTACAAATAATAATAATTTAATAATGATTGGCGTATTTAAAAATACTGTATAATTTTATTCTATATTCATATTTGTCTGTATATTATAATAATTAAAAAATGCGCTGTAACAAAACGGATTTCTTTCTTACCTTTTTTAATTTTGTGTCCTACTCTAATAATTTGTAGCGCTACTTTTAAAATTCTTCCACTTGCTACTATAGCGCCACCTTAATTTGCTCAATTTCAACGGACACTTTTTAATACACTGAGATGGTCCTCCTTCCTTCTACCCTCTTTTTAGGTCTCAGCAACAAATACAATCAACATTGGTCATTGACATTGACATTTCATGGTTTCAAAAAAATAGTTTACAAATTGTTTATTGTATATTTTCTTATTTTAAAGCTAGTTATTATTTGAAAATAAAAAATATTAATAATTATGTGACTTTTAAAGAACAAGTAAAAAGTGCAGTTGAGCTTAAGTTATTTTTAAAGCAAAATTTCTGTTAGGTTATGTTATAAACACAAGTACGCAAGTGTAAAATTTTAAAATGGATCCAGGTGGAGGGCTCAGTATAGGTCCTAGTACGGAACCACCTCCCCCAGGTTCTGAATCTTTTTTGGTAGGTCAAACGCTATAAATATCTTATAATTTAAAATTATTTCATTTTTTATTTTTCGTTGATATTTGTTATGAGTTTATTTGTTAAATAGTCAATATTTGAGGTCACATATATATTTGGTTATTTCCAGACTTTCGATAAAGATCCGGTGACACCTAAGACTACTCCTTTAACACCCAAACTGCTTTCGTCGAGCAAAGGCGTCGAAAATGCGAAGAAGAGACTTAGAGCATTTTCAATACAAAAGAAAACTCCAATCACACCTATTATTTTACCTAAAACCGTTGGAACTGGAAGTAAGTAGATTTTATCAAAAAAAATCTAATAAGTTACTTATGTCTTAAAACTATAAAATTGTAATGTGTTTTACAGATAATACAGTATTAATTGGTAAACTGAGTAGTGTAAAAACAACTCCTAAAGTTGAAGATCCTGAACAGAAAAAACTGCCAAGACCTCCTAAACCTGGGACATCTAGACGATCTTTTCAAGGTACATTACCTAATGAATTATATTTTTTAAATAATGTTTATCTTATAAATATATATACAGCTCAGAAACATTTTGAAAACTTCATATTAAAAACAATTTATTTTAAATTTATTATTTACAGATTCCTACACTGATCTGCAAAAGAGAACTCTTGCAGAGATAGAAGATATGAAGCGTAAAATGGAATTAGTTGAACTCGGAATACCACTTGGTTTAATTTGTCCCACTTCCACCAGTGAAAAAGCCATGCCCACTAAAGCTATGCCACCTATAAAATCATTTTTAGGTAATTTTTTTTTATTGATAGGTTTCTAGCTTTTTCAATCTGCATATATACTAAAAATTATTACTTAATTATTATACTATGAATAAATACATTTATATTATACAATTTAATAATAACTTAAATTACATTGCATTCTTAGAAAGTTACTGAAAGGAAGTGACAAAATCACGAATGAGGGGTTTTAACCTTAACAATAAATTCCTAAACTTTATTTCCACCTGTTATCATTTTTTCTGCAAAGAAAATTTGAAGAGATTGTGCTTATTGGTGTATATATATTGCGAATTCAATTTGTATTTAAAGATATTGCCTTGCAAATCAATTGTCTTCTTTACTTAGGAGAATTCTTAATGATAACTCTTAAGTAACAGATAACATTTATCAAATGTTCCTAGCTTCGCTAGTTTTTTATTATGTAAGAGAATTATATATGCATGCACATATTGTATGCACCACAAATAACTTTTAGACATCACTATATTTTAAATGTTTGATTATCCATTTATTTATTAACTTGTGATCTTCATGTGTGTGTAATATATGTATGTATTGTTTGTGGATAGATTTGACTGTTTTGTCCCACTTATTGCCTTAGTAAAAAATACACTTCTTTAAATTTAACACTACAATTTTTTTAATACTTAATGGCTTAAATCTAATAGAATTTAAAATATTTTTAATAAAAAAAAAAGTTGAAAAATATTTCTCTAACATCTGTATAAATATTATTAATGTGAAAGTTTGTGAGTATGTATGGATGTTTGTTACTCTTTCACGCCAGAACAACTGAACGGATATGGATGTAATTTGGCACAGATATAGTCTGGAATAGGCTTAACATAGGCTACTTTTTATCCAAGAAAAATAAGTTAATAATAAGTTCCCAAGGGATAAATTTGTTTTTGTTTTTGTAGAGGTGAACCCAAGCAAAGCGAGGGTAGCCACTAGTAAGATTTAATAAATTATAAATAGACCAAGGTGTTAAATTATATATGCTTGTTGCGTGTAATGCATGTAGACAGACGCTTTCGAGTTTATACCTCGCGAAAGCCAAGCAGCGCTAGTGTGAAACGTAGCAAGCGAAGTCATCATTGTAAGTTAAACATGGCTCAATACATAATCGTTTTTAGATTTTCCAAGTTTAGATGGCTTTGCCAAAATTTTGAATAAATTATTGTTGTCTGTATATAATGGTATGTATATTGTATAAGTTGATACATCATTATTAGGCCTAAATACTTAAGTTAGAAGTTAAAGTAGTTACTCGTTATCTTATTTAGTACTGGATAGTATTTTTTTTTAATTTTTATGGTAGAGACTCATTACTCTATATGTATACTTTTTGGGTGTTTTGGTAATGTTTGCTTCATAAACTGTATATTGATTGTGATTTAGTACAATCAATTAATTTTGTATTAATAGTATTTCTAGTTGTATATAATGTAATTATCATATTACTTAGAATAGAATATTTAGCGAAATATATATTGTTTTTATTTTATTTATAAAAGGAATTAGGAATTTAGCGAACTAAGTAGTGTTAGTAAAAAAAATTCTAAAATTACTTTTTTAAATCATATTCTTTTTATTATTTTGATGACTTTGAATTAATCTTACTTGACTGGAAAGTGAAATAATGGTGCAGCAATGTTGAGATTACATACAAAATGTGATGAAGATAAAAAACCAATTCGAGTTGAACCTGTTGATGGATATTAATTTTTCTTTCTTAAATCTTGTCATTTTTTCAAATAGAAAATTCATGAGTCACTTACTGATCCTTTAGATAAGAGTTAAGTATCTGATTAATAGAGAATATAATAATAAAATAATTTGTCAACAATCGTGGTTTTCGATTTCTTCCGCATTTTCTGTAACATTTTGAGGAATTATTTCGTTTTGTTCGCCAACTTGTCTAATCAAATATTTTTTATATATTACTTATATTTATCGTTTTCTAGATCCACAGAAATTAGACGAGATTATCCGAGAGGCGAAGAAAGCAAAAGAAGATGGAAAGGAATTTAAATTTGACTATCAAAAGTTATTGCCTGACTACGATAATCCATTTCAAAGGAAGAAAGAGGAGTTTGATAAAGAACGCAAATCTGATCGCCGCAAGAGTGAGCCTGAGAAAGACAAGGATCGACGTAAAAGTGACAAATATGAATCCAGAAGACATGAGTATAGGAAAGATGATACAAAGTATAAAGAAAGAGACAGAGATAAAACAAAAGAAAAGAACAAAGATGGTGTTGATGATTCTAAGCATAAAGAAAAGATAGTAGATAAAGAAACAGATGTAAATCTCAATGATTATTTGGTTTGTGATAGCTGGTCATTGGATAATGATGATAAAAATAGTACTTCAAGCCCTAAAGGACAAGAGCGACCATCGCAGTCGTCTGATACTAAAATGATAGAACCATCTGAACAATTAAAGGCGAGTATTGCGAAGAAGAAAGAAATGTTGAAAAACTGCGCAGTCGATATTCCTACCAAAAATATACCCGTCAAAATGGAAAAGTTACAACCGGTAATAGATTCTTTTAAATACGAAATAGATCCTAATGATGATGAAGTTCTAGATATTTTTGACGAAGATTCAGATTTAGAAAAGTATGCTCAGCAAAAGAAAACTAAAAAACATTCTTTATATGATGCAACAGATAAAAATGTGGTTGATTTCAATGTTAGCAATTCTACAGACACAACTTTAGATAGTTTGAACGATGACACCTTCTTAGAATCTGTTATCAATGAAATTAAACAAGACGACGAGCTTAGTGAGGATAGCCAAGATAAAGGTTTGGTCGAATATGACATATCGCCTAATCGAGACGAAAGTCCAAGACGGTCTAAGCGAGGTTCGATAACCCCTGAGATTCAGGAGAAAGTGCGTTCTCAAAGTCAGAAGAGTGATTATTCAGAGGGTTACAGATCCTCAGACAGTTATAAAACAAGTGAAACGACCGAAAGTGGATATAAGTCCGTCGACAGTTACAGATTGTCGGTAGAAAAAGAGTTAGATGATGCGTTACAGTCCAAAATGTCCAAATCTACTGTAGATTCCTTAGAAACTTGGAGTTTCGTCCTTAAAATATGTCAGCCACTTTTGTTTAGACACGACAAAAATAAATGTTACAAGTGAGTATAGTACCTACTTACTTTTATCAACTACGTTTTTCTATAGACTTCATAGTCTTCTTAAACATTTTGATTGGTGCATTTCGATTCTGGAAATGTATAACGTATTTAACTTTCATATATTTAGCGTGCATGGTAGGCAGATGTTATCCTCCACAGATTTGTTCAAAAATAAATAAATAATGGATCTCGAGAACAGAACCACTTTTATGTACTTATAGGGAACCTATAAGTAAACAAAAAATAATCAAAATCATTCAAGCAGTGTATGAGAAGAATTATGAACATACAAGCAAACTGAAATTTTATATATAAAGATCACTGAAAGAGTTATTTGAATTTAAAAATACTAACAAAAACTAACAAATTTAGTTGACTTATAACACATGAAATTTTACATCTTTCTTTGGTTATAATTAGTCACGAGATGATCTTTTTCGTTAAAATTTTGTAGAGAAACAAGAACTACACCGAAGATTTGGTATACAACAAATCCGAAGCTATGCACTTGTGTGAAAGACCGCAGTATCGTTTACGAGGAGTTGGAAATGTGCAAAATGAGTTTGGTTGATAGAGTCTACGGTTGTGATCAGTGAGTAATCATTATATAATAATTTTAATCTATACTAATATAATGAAGAGAAAAGATTTTTTGTTTGTTTGTTTATTTGTACCGAATAAGCTCGAAAACTACTGAACTGATTTAGATGAAATTTAGTAAAAAGATAGTTTGAGACCCCGGGAAGGATATACGATAGTTTTTAATCCCAGAAATTATCCCTTAAAATGGTGAAAATGGGGATGAAATTTTGTATGAGAAGCAACCTAGGGACGAAACCGAGCGAAGCGAGGGCGAGTCGCTAGTTGCAAATATAATAAATATGTAAAATAAACTTATCAGCATCATCTCAAAATTGTTATAAAGAAGTATTCTATAGTTAGAATTAAAATTAAACCAAAAGTACATTTATATATGCATTTATTCTCCTCTTGTTTCATATTGCTCGTATCCTCGTTATCACAAATTAAAATATACATTATTTAAACGATTTCTAACAATTTAACAAAGCAACAAAAATCCGAAATTTAAATACCTATATAGATACATACATATACTTACACTAAAAACCAAATGTTCACTTAATAATTATTGTAAAAATCTTGTAATATACAAAATTATTATTTCTAAAAACACGTATATATCTTTACGTATCAATTAATTGCACACATGCAAAGCTGCAAAATATTCGTGAATAGGTTAATATATTGCTTCAAACCATATTTTTATGCACCATACCATTCTTAGTACTATTTAGATGAAATTGATTTTCGATTTCACAAATTCTTATTCAGCTTTAAATTATTACCATGTTTTTACCTCTAAAAGAACTTTAAGTCCTGAGAACTGGCGATAGGAACTCAGCGACACTAAAATATTTAATTTATCCTTTTTTTTGAAATAAAATTTAAAAAATGACATTGTCAATTGTTGTTTTTTTTAATTTGATATAATAAAAATAACGTTAACATAGTTTTTGTTTAATTTTGTATACTATTTCGAAATTCGAATACAAATGTCAAAGAAAGTTTATCTTCTGAGTGAAATCCCTAGGGTGTAATCATATTATGTCATACTTTAGATCTAAATAAAACTACAAAGCTGTTTAAATTAATTTAATTTTGTAAAGTATGAAATTTATATAAACAATTTTTGTTAACATTAAATCATAGAATAATATCTATCTGATCACGTTTATTAACAAATGTCCTCGAAAAATAAGAAAATCTTTAATAACATTTAAAATGAAGATGTGATTTTAATATTTTCTTAGATTTACGCGAATATTTGACATTTTAAATAAAACGGTCTTTTCGGATTTTTTCGCGGATTTATTTTAATTTTTGGTTCCCGACGTTTCGAATGCTTTACAACAATCATGATCACGGGAGAGACTGTCTGTCCCGTAACCATGATTTTGATGTCGGAAACCAAAAATCAAAATGAATCCGCGAAAAAATCCGAAGTGAATTTGCATTGATATTTATAACATAAAAAATGACTTCAATTATTGATTCTTAAATCATTCGAACATTTTAGGATATCAGACTCTCCTTGCGCAACAGTACGCAGTTGGTACCCACGGAATGGTCTAAGCGTGACGGAAACGAACCCGGTACCCTTGTCCAATGAGTGGGAGGCGGAGGATAGCCAGCAAGCCCTCAGACCACTACCCTCCAAAACCCTCCCCGGCCTCTCAGGTCGGACTCCCGCCACTCCTCAGAGGCGCGATGAGATGTCTTTGGATAGGGAGTACCAGAGGTGAGTTTTATTTTATTCTATATGTATATTTATTTTTATGATATAAGTTCGATTACTGATGGAACTACTAACTACGTTTTTTTACCTGACTGCGGCATAACCCAAAGGAGGGTTATGTGTTTGACCTGTATGTATGTATGTGCTCGTGTATGTATGTTCCTTCATAATTAATAAACGGCTTAATCTATTTTGATGGTTCACACGTCGTTAGACTCGTCTAGATAACCCGAGTGTCATAAGGTTTACAGATACCATTAAAAGTCAAAATGACGGGTCTGAGGTGCTAATCTGTATCTTGAAAAAAAAAATTTCGTCCAATCGATTGAATGGGGTATTAAAATACAAGTTTTTAGGAAGACATTACAAAAATATATATAACTTGTGTGTATAAAAATAATTTAGTATAAGAAATCGTTTAATAAAAGTAAATATAATAAATAAATAAAAAAAATATTTACTAGAATAAAAAAAACTGATGGCGTAAAAAGCGACCATTAGCAGTAAGTTATGTGAAAATGTATATAATAATGTTTAACTATACATACATAGATAAGTCTCAACATACGAGACTACATGTTATATGACGGCACATTTGGCTCAGTTTGTAGTGACCCCATTTGCTGTGTCAGCGGTCGCGGTCCGCGGGTTCCAGTCCCGCTAGAGGCATTCATTTGTGTGATGAGCACGAATGTTTGTATTGTCATGGATGTTTATATTTAAAATATGTATGTATTAAAAGTTATATATGTGTAAAACGTTTACAAAAGAGTTGCTTCAACTCAACAAGTATAAAACCAGTGCGGTAACCAGAACACTTACTGGTCACTGCTCAATAAATATATGTTTACCCTCGGCCTCAGTCAGACCGCAATGTGCAGACTATGCCATGAGACAGAGGAAACTGCTATGCACATCCTCTGCTCGTGCGGTCCACTCATGCACCGCAGACGTATCTATCTAGGGCAGCATATTATGCAACCGGAAGAGATACAGATGCTCCCCGCTCAGAAAATCTGGAAGTTCCTGGAGTCAACAGGACTTAGCGGAGAACTTTGAACTCATTATAAAGGGAGCTACAATGGACCAAAACTGGTCGACGTAGCTAGGGCCGACCTCGGCAACACACCCAACATAATAATAATAATATATATGTGTAGTATATCAACTATCTGGTATCCATAACACAGGCCTCGTAGCTTACCATGGAACTAGATGGTGCTGTGTGTTAATGCCCCAACATATTTATAAAAAAAAACATATATTTATTTATTCGTATGCTATTATTTTTAAACCAGTTTAACACTTCTAACTGTTATGATTTGATAATGGTAAAGATCTTCATAATTGCTTTTATTGAAATAATTATCACTTCATACTATAGATTTATGGAATCAGTTTGGCCAGAAGCAGCTGATTCCATACCAGAAACTTCTAGAAGCACTACACCAGTGAGACAAGAATCTAGAAAGAAAAAGAAAGAAGAAGACAAAGAATCCGAAGAGAAGAAAACTAAAAAAATCAAATTGAGTAGTGAAGGATGGAGTCAAGAGTCAGATATAGAAGAGGATCAAGGCGATAAAAGGTATTTAACAATATTTGTTGCAAATTATTCCTTTGTCCATATTATATCTAGCGAGTGGTAAAAACTTGTGGTTATTTTAGAATTTGTACTGTATTTAGCCCTTTTTAACGTCCCACTGCTGGGCAAGGGCCTCCCTTCAGTACGAGTGGAATCAGGCCATAGTCCACCACGCTGGCCAAGTGCGGGTTGGCGGACCTCATAAGTTTTTTGAAAATATACTAGGTTCTCTTAGGCATGTAGGTATCCTCACGATGTTTTCCTTTACCGTAACACATGTGGTAATCGTATTGGAAATGGTTCGCACATGAGAGAATGTCAGATGAGCTAGACCCGGCGGGATTTGAACACGTTTTACTCGGTTTCCCAAGCGAGCGAGTTGCCACCGAGCTACCACTGACTTAAATTATATTATTTGCATATTTTTAGCAAGAAAATGAAAGTGAAATCTAAGTCGCGCAAACGGAAACACTCGACGTCGTCGTCGTCTTCCTCGTCTCTTTCTGACAGCGACGATTCTAGAAAGAAAACGAAAATACTTAAAAAGAAGGTAACATTTTCTTTAAGTAATATTAATAAAAGTATATATTTTATTAATATTTGGATTTGATTTCGAATCTTTTTTTTTAATTTTGATTTTGTTTATATTGATAAATAAAATTTAAGTGTCTGTTTGTACCGTTAAAATAACTGCTTTTTACTAAATGCATATGAAATTATATATGGTTCTAATAAGAAAAAAACAATCTTTGCCTATCTGTCTGTAGTATCGGTGTGCAGTATTTGTAATATGTTGGGGGGTATAGAAGTTAGTACAATAGTTTACAATTTTTTTATACAAAATCATGCAGTCTAATGACATTCTCTTAAGTTGAACTATAAAAATTTTTATCTTAGAAGCATTTACATTTAAATATGAACAATATAAATATTTTAGGCATTGAAGAAAACCAAATCAAAATCGGCCAAACGCAGACGCATCGGACGAAGGTTGTTAAAGAAGTTAAAGGAGAAGCAAAAGAAACGGAAACTTAATAAGGACTCAGACTCTGATGACGATAGTGGTAAAGTTTTATGAGAAAGGAATTTAATTAAATAAATAAATTTTTATAATTTAAGTTAATAAAAAAATGTTAATATTTTTGCTTTTAAAAATGCTTAATTTGTGAGCTAAATCTGGTAAATTATATATCAATATTATTTATTTTAGATAAGAAGAAAGATAAGAAGTCGAAGAAGAAGAAACAACAAAAGTTAAAGAAGAAAGCGCAAAAGAAGAGAAAAGCGAAACAATCCAGTTCATCCAGCTCTTCCAGCTCGGATAGTTCGAGTGAGTCAGATTCGGAAAGCGACAGAAAGTCTAAGAAGATAAAGAAGAATAAGTCAGGAAAGAAGAAAATAAGTAAAAAAAGAAGTAGATCATCTTCTGACTCGTCACAAAGCGAAGAATTATTTGATGTTAACATCTTAAACAATATTAAGACAGAAAGATTGACGGATGATGAAAAAGGTCAAAAATTAATGGAATTTTCCCCTCGAAGACAAAAGCCAAGGGAAATAATTAATGTTAAGGAGTTACAGAACGATTTCGTTGAGAACATACATATAAAAAAAGAAACAGATGAGCCTAAAAGCAAGGAAGTGATTCAAAGCGACGTGTTTGATATTGGCAATGTTAGTCATATTGAAACTAGTTCCAAAGAAGAAAGCTATGTTCTTAAGGTTTGTAAATATTTAAGCACGTCACAATTGTCCAAGAGTCCAAATTGAAAAAAAAAAACAGCTCACGTAATTAATAGATAATCCCTTATAAATTAAGTCTATATTTGGTTATGAAATACAAAACCTGACCTCTATGTTATTGACGCTAACAATTTTAATAAAACTCAGAAATTAATACACTCATATATATTTAATATTTATTCCTTCATTGCAATTCGAAAATGAAATTATATATGATTAATTTTATATTTAAGGAACCATCAGATTCAAGTCAAGAAAGTCAGGAAGATATTCCATTACCCCCAGCTCCTGAACCAGAGGCTCCTCTTCCTCGAGAGCCCACACCTCCTCAGGAGCCGGCGGTTCCATCGATTCCTTACCCGCAAATGGTGCCGCCGGCTCCTCAAATCCCATTGGCTCCTCTGGCCCCGCCTATTCCTGAGGAATCTAACTTATCTCAATGTTCTTCACAAGACTCCGTTTGTAGTGTTAAGGTATGACTTTTTAAATATGTACAATATTAGCTTTCAATAAGTAAGTGACCTATTGCAAAAATGGACTGGTTAAAAAAACAAACAAAAATATAACTAAAGAGAATATTTACAAAATACAACTAAGGAAAACAAAAACAAACCTATCCCACGTACATTTTTCCGGGATAAAAAGTAGCCTATGTGTTATTCCAGCCTATAATCTATCTCTGTGCCAAATTTCACCCAGATCCGTTCAGCCGTTCTGGCGTGAAAGAGTAATAAACATCTATACATACTCACAAACTTTCACATTTATAATATTATAAATAATACGGATAATATATAGACTCTATTCCATACAGTAACCGTTAAAACGTACCTAGGGACGAACTCGAGCGAAGCGAGGGTGAGCCGCTAGTTGTATATATTTTTGTATCTCCAAAAGCACTATATGCAAAATATATGTATACAGGAAGTACCAACATACGAAAAAGATGAAAGCCACCTTCGGCCATCGTCGCAGAATTCTAACTACAGCTTCAACGACGTGATTGCGAGCCAAAGTGGACTTTATTCCAAGGGAATAGAGTCGGAGAGAGATGAACACTACGCGTACGAAGCGGAGACGTATGAGATGTATGAACAGCTCGCTATGGCATATCAGAGTGATGTTGCCAGTCAGGTGAGTCGGTTTTAGGGATCCGTATAGATAAATAAATTTAATTCAATTCAAATAAATTTTTTTTTAATAAATTGTTACATTTTTTACTGAAGTTCGGAAAGAAAAAGTTAGTCTGTTAGAGGAAACGTAACGAAGGAAATTATTGATTATCGCTTTTTCGTTTGTCTTTCACAGAACTTTCAATTTAAAGGTAATAACTAAAGGTTAGCGAATTGAAGTATTAGTCCGGTCAGATTTGACATAAAAATAGTGATCAAATAACAAAAAGTCACAAACACCTTCAACTATTAGAATCGCGATATCTTAGGAATGGTGATTATTAGGAAAAAAAGTATTACAATCATTTTTGTAGATAATTTTATGATCTACAACTTTTGTCTGGACTATATTTTTGATAAAACTTACCGTTGTCCAGAAAAACCCAAAAAACTGAAAATTTTGACCTTTGATTGTTGTTATCAAAATTTTGATTAATTTGACACATTAACCTGTTAAGTTTGACATATTGTATTATTAAAGATTGACGTGTCTACAAGTAATTTGAATGTGACGTTATGAGGTAGCCATCGAAAATTTTCGTTGGATTTGAAAGACTGCTCTATAAACATTTTTATTTTATTTTATTATGAATGTTTTTAATATACATAATATGTATGTCTATATAATACTAGACCAATTGCTAGCATGTACGGCCGCAGATATGGAGATCTTGGGTTCGTGTCCTAGGTCAGGCCAAGTTTAGTCATATGGTTTTTCTTTTTAGAAAGTCTCAGTTACAGTTCTGAGTTGGGAAGTTGGCGGTCTTGAACCTTCTCCTTCATCTTGCGTCTGATCTCTCACGCGTGTTGAATTGTCCCACTGGAATAATATGAGAGTGACAGGAATAAATAGTACATTTGTGTTTACGTGTACATTTGTGTACCATATATTATGTCGTAGGATGATTTGATAATTAGAATTTTCGTGAAAACCCTAGGAACATTGCGAAAATACGGATAGTTAGACAACGGTTAGGTAAGTTTTATTTTTTGATAACGTGACAGTTCCGACTTGGATAACGTAGGTTGAGAAGGCTAAGAAAAAAGGCTAAGGCGGGAGCTACATCTTACCTTTCTTTCTTTCTAGGTTGGTTAGGTTAGGTTAGAACATGTTTTTATAAAAATCCTATCTATTTCCAGTAAGATTGAGCAATGTTTTCACCATTGTTTAATTATCCGTGTTTTCACGATATCTCCAGGTATTTTGCGAAAATTCGAATAATCAAACCATCTTGCAACATATATAATATCTTCTGGAATTGGTCGTGAAGAAAATGGTTTAGGAAGACATTACGTCCAAAAAAAACGTGTGTGTTTACTTATGTACCCGCGTAAGAAGTTATATGTATGTACATCTTTGGCGTAACAGAATAAAATTAGCTAAAGGTTTCATCCCGTGTGTCACAATTCTCTGTTTATAAAAGCAATGTAGCTAACTTCATCATGTCATGTCATTGTAAAAATGTTACTCCCATATTTCTTTCCAAACGTGCCAAAAGAAGTATAAGTTCAATAAAGCGTTCATAGCTTGAGTGTTCTCGTTGCAGCGCGCGTCCCCCGGCGCGGGCGGCGCGGGCGTGGAGCAGCGCATCGAGACGGTGGTGCGCGCGCGCTGCGGCGAGATCAAGTGCGACTGGCGCGCCGACGACGCCGCGCCCGCGCGCCGCGCGCGCCCGCAGCCGCACCGGCCCTCGCGCTGGGGTGAGACACGACACTTTCGTATTGCATTCATCTATACTAATATTATAAAGAGGTAAACTTTGTGAGGTTGTGACGTTGTAGGGGATAATCTCTGGATATACTGAACCGATTCAGATGAAATTTGGTAAGAAGACAGTTTGAGACCCTGGGAAGGACATAAGACATATAAATCATCGCTTATGGGGGTGAAAATGGGAATGATAGTTTGTATTGGAAAGCAAGCTACGGATGAACCCGAGCGACACGAGGGTGAGTCGCTAGTCTATACATATAATAAAATTCTGTGTCGAACCTGTACATCAAATATTTTTTGGACAATCTTATTAAAATAGCCATTGTCTGTCCATCTGTGTGGAAAAGCATTAGGAGAAAATCAGTGGACGGATTTTGATGAAATTTGGTATGATGATAGCTGGGTAACCGTGTCAACAATTAAGATACTTTTTACTGCTGGAAAATATCCCATCTCTTAGAATTCTATACTAACCGTAAAACGTACCTAGGGTTGAACTCGAGCGACGCGAAGATGAGTCGCTAGTTGATATCGAAGTCCTAACTGTTTAAAGACGAATTCGAACTTACGCACGTGTTGTACTTACTTTTGTAAACGAAACAACGCGCGGTTTTTTTTTTGAGGACACTCAAGACTTAGTTAAACTGTGGTCCAACGGTGTGAAGTTATGCAAAATTAAATTGTTACTCATTTTTGCTTGATACTCCATACATATGAGCGGAGTGTACCCACAATGTGAAGGATACATATACGCAAGTTACCCTATTTGTTTATCCCAATGGTAATTAAAATTTGCCGAGCCATTACAACTTAAACACATGTATTCAGCCCTTTTTAACGTCCCACTGCTGGGCACGGGCCTCTCTTCAATACGAGGGGGATCAGGCCATAGTCTACCACGCTGGCCAAGTGCGGGTTGGCGGACTTCACATATCTTTCAAAAAGTTGCTAAGTTCTCTCAGACATGCAGGTTTCCTCACGATGTTTTTCCTTCACCGTAAGGCAAGCGGTAATCATGTTAGAAATGACTTAAACAGATATTGACGATTTATTTTTATTTAGTTATTTTTTACATATATGTGTATTTATTTTCAGGATTAAAGCCGGGTGAAGTGAATATAGTGCTAACGGGCGCGGGCGCACAGTTCCCCGAACGGGAAAAGCCGCAGCCCGTCTACCAGATACAGAGCATTGCTAATCGGATGGACACTGTTACTGGGTGCGTATATCCATACATAATATTATAAATGTGAAAATGTATTTGTTTGCTTGTGTCTTTCTTTCACGTTAAAACGGAGTGACGGATTGGCGGGATTTTTGGTGTAAAGATAGTTCGATAGCAGGAGAGTGACATAAGCTACTTTCTATCGCGAGAGATCTCATTCGAACGGGAGAACACGTTATAATACAATTATTTTCAATTTCCTATATAATCATTTTTTTAGTTAATTTCCCTTATTCTTTAAAGAAAATAAACAATCTGTATGGCTAAAACGAGAATAGTAGCATAAACGGGAAATCACGCTACTATTTTTGACTTAAACATTTATTTTGGTGGACTCCGTATACATATGATTCTCTAGTCGCACGCAACATATAATTTTTATCTTTTAAAAAAATTGTATGGCATACATATTACGTGAAAAATGCTTAAAATACGCAATTCTGCCTAGAATGACAGATTATAATAATATTTCGTTTTCATAAAAACTACATAATATATATTAAATTACTCCAAGTCTATCTCTGATATTAATTCGGCAAAAAAAAACTTTATTTTCAGATACGATGAAGCCTATATGGATATGTATGGCGCGTCCGACCGTCTCCAATATGGCGACTGCTTCGCCACAGACTTCATAACGAACACCATAAACAATGCAGTCAATATAGACGTGACTACTGACTCCACAGATAATATAAACCTACCCACGAATAAAGAGACCAGGACAAGTTCTCTGGATGCGAGGATCAACCAGGCTTTAAAGGATACCAGTAAGTTTTTATATAATATAAACTAACGACTTACCCTGGCTTTGCTCGTATTCGTCCCTAAGGTACGTTTTGACGCTAAAAAAACGTAATAAAAAAATATATTAAAATATCGTATCGTATCGATACGGATATTTTAAACACCTGCGATTTCGCGCGCTTGGCGTGACTTCAAAGATACGACGACGGTAGATTATACATAGAAAAATTACATCTTATTAATAATTATTTTTGTAGTCAAAAAAAAATTACATTATAAAATATTGATATAGGTTTAATTCCAAAGCAATAAAGACTATAAAAAAAAAATATTTTATCTTTTTTAAATCACACTCATATTCCCATTGTTGTACTGTAAGATTTTTATGTAAGTTTTGCAAATATAATTGTTTTGTTTTACAGTTCTAGGAGAAGTAGCTAAAGAGGCCGAAAGTGAAAATGACAAAGACGCGCCCGAAAAAGGAATACTTATTACGTAAGTATTTTTTATACATAAAATATAATTATTTTTTCCTTCGACACAATATTTGATATTGAAGTTTTCTCAGATATGTAGGTTTCCTCACAATGTGTTTCTTCATCGCAAAACTTCCAACATAATTACCATTTGGTAATCATTTTGAAAAATATTTGCACATGAGAGTACCAGATATGATCCCGTTTCACTTAGTTTAACAAGTGAGCTCGTTTAATATAACTATTTTCTTCTTCTTCTTATAACTTGAAGGTTCTTTTGTACAATTTTAAGAATATTTTGTTCAATAAACAATAAAAAATATTAATAAATGCTTGTTCTAAACTTTCATGTATATATAATATATATATTGTATACTAGCAGAACCCGCGGCTTCGCTCGCGCCAAAACTACATAAAATATCTAAAAAGGTTGATTTCATACAAACTTTCATCCCCTATTTTACCCACTTATGAGATGAATTGCATTGAAGAGCATTATAATCAAGTTTCAAATAATTCTGTTCATAAATAATTTTTGAGTTGCATTATAACGTGTTTTCTTGTAAAAGTATGCCTATGTCTCCAGCTCTCTAACTATCTCCACACAAAAAATTACGAAAATCCATTACTCTGTTTCGACGTGAAAGAAGGACAAACAAACAAACGCACTCATATTTATAATATTAGTATGGATTTTATATTTACATTGTATTTGTCGTGTGCACAGTACGGTGTCGGAGGCGCGCGGCTCGAAGCGCGTCAGCTTCGCGGACGGGTACAAGCCCGGACAGGACTCCGACGTGGAGGACCCGCCTGTGAAGAGGGTGAGCGGTTTTATTATTATATTACTAGCGTCCCTAGATACTTTTTAATATTTTTAGCTTTTCTAAACAGAACCCTAAATCTTTCTCTCAATTAAAAGTAGCCTAAATTACTCCTCATAACATCAGCTGACATCATCTGACAGTGAAAGTCCCGTTAAAATTAGTCCAGCAGTTTCGGAGATAAGCCGAAACAAATTGACAGACAAAAATTTTAAAAATTGTGTTTTTTTATAATTTTCTCTGCGACACCATAAAAGCGTTAGCAAGATACAAATGAGGGATTACATCTCGTTCTTCATGACACCATAGAAGTGGCAATATGATGTAAGTGAAGGTTTAATATTATGTCGCAGCGTTGTTCTTGACGATACCATATGAGGGTTAACACGATACAAATGAAGGGCTATATCTCGCAGTGCAAGAAAGTCCGCCGCGTGGGTTCCACTTGTTCCTCACGAGTCATGAGTCACGACACTTTAAAAGTGTTATTACGATATTAGTGAAGCGTTAATATCATACATTGTTACAAGAGTTAGGGGTTAAATTGAATTGAAATTGAAGAGTTATATCTCTCTGCGCAAAAGAGTACGCCGAGTGGGTTCCGCTTGTTTCTCACAACACTATAAAAGAGTTGTTACGTTATGCATCTTAACGATACTATACTTTTATGGTGTCGTTAAAACGATACAAATGAAAGGTAACATGTTCTAGCGTAAGAAGGCGCGCCGCGCGGGGTGCGCGTGGCCGTGCCCGGCGGCGCACGCGGACCACGTGCCGCTGTGGGACGCGCTGCCGCCGCCGCCGCCGCCGCCGGGCTCGCCGCCGCCCGCGCCGCCGCCCGCGCCGCCCGCGCGCCTGCTGCGCGCCAAGCCCGCGTCCTCCGCGCTCTCCGCGCTCTCCGCGCTGCTGCCGCCCCATATGGCTAAGTTTGGTGAGTATTGCATAAAACAATTCTTTACTTGACATGATTGAGTTTTGTGAGTTATGTATAAAACAATCCGTTCTCTGGCATGGCTGAATTTGGTGGGTTATGCTTAAAACAATCTATACCCTTATTTGGTTAAGTATATGAATATTGTAAAAAATTAAAAAGAAAAAAAAACGATTTTCAACGATTTTGGAAATTTTTAAAAATGTTGAGCGACCACTTAAAAAAAAATTTTTGAACTGCGCTTTGGTGGGGGCTCTTAAAACATGATAAACTAATATATTTTCGTAAGAGACTCGAGAAGAAAAAATATTTTCTTTTTTACACATGAATAACATGAGTGATAATACAATATGAAACAAAGTTAATTTTGTGGCCAAGGACGTGAAACAGAAAATAACTATCCTAAAAACTACTCAACACATCTTTTTCAATATAATTTTCGTGGCAGGTGCATATACATATAATAAAATTATAACTAAGCCGAATCTGTACATTAAATATTTTTGGTAAATCTAGGCCGAATCTATAATTTTTAGAATTTTTGTCTGTCTGTGACCGCATCAAAAAAAAAACCACTGGACAGATTTTGATGAAATTTGCTATGATGATAATTGGTTATCCGGGTCCAACATATAGGAGACTTTTTACTTCGGGAAAATATCGCATACCTGGAAAGCTATACTAAACCGTAAAACGTAACTAAGGTGGAATAAATGATATCTCTACTTTTGAAAGATCAGTAAAATAACATATTATTACTAAAACATATTTTTTATCGATTATATTGAATTCATACGATTTTTTTTTAATTTCAGATCCTTCCATCCCTCTGCCGGGTTTCATGCCGCCCGAACCCCCACCCGGCCTCATTACACTACAGTAATGTGACCTTATTTTAAAGATTTTTTTTTTAAAGTTTTAAAGAAATAAAAACTATACACATTAAATAAATTGCAGTGTGTGATAAAAACATAAAAAGTGATGGTATATGACCAAATAGGATAAATACCAGAGAGTTAAAATAAAAAAAATATTTTTGAACTGGTTATGTTAAAATTAGCACATTGGTTTCTTCTTATACCCATATTTTTTTATATAATGTATAAAATAATATATTTTTTATACGTTATAGTACATCTTACCGCATACATCTATTACAATTTACATATAACTAAAGTGTAACTAATCGCTGTCTGTACATGGAAGATATTTGAAAAAACTATTATTGAAGATTATTAACCCAAAATAATGATTTTTTGTCTGTTTGTCTGTGCGCGTTAATCTCAGAAACGGCTTAACCGTTTGGGTGCGGTTTTCGCTAATGTATTTTGGTAAGCTTCACTTAACATTTAGTATTAGTTTAATTTTATTATAAAATTGTATATGTATGTGGTAAGAAATTAATTTGTTACTGCTTTGTCATTAAATATATGTCGGCGAAATACCCCTCAGCAACTCTACACCGCTATTTCAAATTAAGCCCTGATGTTATTGAGGATTTTAAGAAGAATATATCTTATATTACACTTCAATGGAGAAGTTTCTGTTTTTTATGTATTAATTATAAAAAAATAAGTTAAATATAACAATAGTATAAAAGAATTAATAAAACATCTCAACAAATGAAAAGGTTATGAAACTCTAAAGTTGCGCTTGTAAGAATAATTTCGTGACGTCACACGATCAGAATGATCCTTTTTTAAATTAATTTCTCAGTCATTTATTGATTAGTATAGACAGATATAGATTAACGTTTTATATAGATATCTCAGAGATAAGATATTTTCCCGCAGTAAAAAGCATCATATATGTTAACCCGGATAACCAGCTATCATCATATTAAATTTCATCAAAATCTGTCCAGTGGTTTTCTCGTGATGAGATCACAGACAACGAGACAGACTATAATTTTAAAAACTATAGATTCGGCCTCTGTATCGATAAAAATGACTACTTGATTAAGATATTCCAAAAAATATTTAATGTACAGATTCGACTCAGAATTTTATTATATGTATAAATTAAAAAAAAACTGTTTTTTTTTTTAGTTTTGACCTGTAGTATAATTCCGTTGCGTTAAATATATTTAACAACTTCATAAAGTTTCTCCATTGTCTTGTTAATGTCTTAAAATGTTCCAGTTAAGCGAACTTGTTCGTCTACTATTGGGTCGTAGACACCAATATAATAACCAATACTCTCTTAGATTTACGCGAATATTTGACATTTTAAATAAAACTATCCTTTCGGATTTTTTCGCGGATTTATTATGATTTTTGGTTCCCGACGTTTCGAATGCTTTACAGCAATCATGGTCACGGGAGAGACCAATAATAAATCAATTGAAAGTTTTTAAGAGCCGTTTGACTATAGCAACCTTAGCTATTTATAGATTTTAAAGCAATAGAAAATTAATCGAGTTTTAGGGCTAAAATAATGTGGTTTTTAGAGAAGCTTTATTTTTTAGAGGAGCCCTTGAATTTTTGGTTAATGATGTCAAACTACCCGATTATTTTAAAACACAGGATAATCAAGATCCAACAAATAAAAATTGCGACTGACCCTTTTATTGTATAGATCATTATCATTGTATATAATAAAGTTTCCTAAGTTTTGGAAAATAACATATCTAATAAATGTTTATACTTTACACCAAACATAGAGATCTGGATTCCAGTTCAGTGACGTCATACGAGCCTGAGCGGCCGGAATTTTCGTCCTTTTTTGACATATCCAACAATTTTTTTTAATTAAAACTATTTTATGTTCAGTTTAAATTTAGATTTTCAATTTATTATTAATATTAATACTCAATTATATTATAAGGAAATCAAAGAACTTCTCCATTATCGTAACGTGATAATTGGTATTACTGATTCGGTATTGTCACATAAATTTGTTTTTTTTTATTCTGAATTTTCTTGATGTTTTCTTATCTTGTCTTCAGAATCCTTTATATTATATTATATTATTGTATAAAGCAGTGATAGATATATAATTCAATTGGAAGAAAATTAATGATTATTATAACTATATATTTTTTTTATTTGCACTTTTATGGTATTCTGTTAAGTAATAATAGAATAAGTAATGTTACACGATAAGATTGTAAATATATGGATTTATCAGATTCGTTGTTTTATTTTAGCACCTATTGTTACAATTTTAATAAAAATATAAATTATACATAAATTATTAATTATATAAAATAGGTTTTATATTGATAATTGTAAAATAATTACTTGATTCTTTGTCATTCTGATATAAAATTTAAGTTTTCTTTAAGTTATCATCTTGAGTGGGAAAAGGGCGGCAAAAGCGTTGTGTTTTGTTTCATAAATTAATGCAATACGTTGTTCCATTTTATAATGTTGTTTGTGGCGTTACTCTGAATCTGTATAAAATAATAACTGTGTACCGTTACATCGAATATTACTTGGCCTACCTGACCTACTTCTTAAATACTCCAGTAACACTATATTGGAGTGAAATCAAAAGAATTTTTTTTCTTTATTAGCACATGTGTATGTATGTGTGACATACATCTATAATTTTTCGCACTGAGAATATTTTCATAGCTTTATTGTTATAAGAAATAACCTAAATAATAGAGACCGTTAATAGAAGACAAGTGTCTAATTAAAAAAATCTTCATTAATGTATTTATTATGGAAAGCAATTATTGCAAAAGTGTGTTTTACCTAGTTAGCGCTAGAGTCCTTGTCATTGACTTAGCCTTTATAATACCGTAGTTCCAAAATATTCCGCGTGATTTCTTCCGTAAAACGCAAACACAGTTTACGCAGCAGGCAATAGATGGCGTTGTTCTGTTTAAAGCGATTCTTGCATCGCGCTGGCAAGATGTTCTCGCGAACAGTGACTACCGGCGGGTCGAGCATTGCAAAGCATACTTACCTGGCGTAGGGGACACCGTGATCAAGAAGGCGGTTCCCCCAGAGCGAGGCCCTTCCATTGCACTGCGGCTGGGTTGACCTCTGCGATTATCCCTAATGCGGATAACTCGGACGCGTAATTTTTGGTAGTGGGGACTGCGTACGCGCCGTCCCCCTCGGAAACTTTTATAAATATCGTATCCTTGCCCGCTGCTCCGCCCGCGTTCAGATGACCAAAAACCAAATTCTTAGGTTATACAAATATTTTATATTAGTATACTCTTACAAAGCAGTTTTTGTATTTTTTCTCAGAAAGGAAATATTTTAAATTTTCCCGCGATAAAAAATATCCTATGTGTTGACCCGGATAACCAGCTATCATCATACCAAATTTCATCAAAATCCCTCCAGTGTTTTTTCCGTGATGCGGTAACAGGTAACAGACAGACAAAAACTCTAAATACTATAGATTCGGCCTCTGTATCGATAATAATGTCTATTTCAATAAGATTTTCCAAAAAATATTTAATGTACAGATTCGACTTAGTTACAATTTTATTATATGTATAGATTAAAGTAAATCTTGAGAGGCGCCTATTGACTATGAGCACGTCAGTAGCGCCATTTAGAACCTATCACGGACTGTCCAATAAATAACCTATAAATGTTTCATTGTTTTCTAATAATTATAGTAATAAGATAAAATATAGAAAGACGACAAATAGTGTCTGTAGTGACTGACGACAGTTAGTTTAACTCTTAGTTTGATTAACTGCCAGATAGTTTAACGGTTAATTTGGTTAACTGCTAGTTAGTTTAACAGGCGTGTCTTCTTCGCCGGTTTTCTGTGTTTCTTTTAATATCTCTTCTCTTCTCTCTCATCCATCAAATTATATATTGGTTACTAGCGATTCACCCTCGCTTCGCTCGGGTTTCTAGACATTCATAAACAAATCTATCCCACGGGCACAGATTCGGAGATTAGCCCGTACAAACAGACAAACAGACAGAGAAACAAAAAAATTGAAAAAATCTGGATTTGTTCTATTTCTCTTCTTACATCCCCCTGACTCGGTTTTTAGCATATTGTTTTTATGTACAGACATTCGACCTATACAGTTTTATTACCTACTAGCGACTCACCCTCGCTTCGCTCGGGTTCGTCCCTAGCTTGCTTCCCCATACAAATTTTCATCCCCATTTTCAAATTATCCTTAAGGGATAATTTCCGGGATAAAAAGTATCCTATGTCCTTCTCAGTGTCTCAAACTATCTTCTTACCAAATTTCATCTAAATCGGTTTAGTAGATCTAGCGATTACCCCCTACAACGTCACAAACTCACAATTCACAAACTCATAAACTTTACCTCTTTATAATATTAGTATAGATAGATTGACGTATTATATATGGAAAAAAACCATCTTATAGATCACTCAATAGGTTACGACGCGGTCCCGGTTCCATATATACGTGTAAAATATTATCTCTTTAACCATTTGTCCAAATATTATGCAATAAAAGGGAAAAGTTTTTGTTTTAAACATTTTAGACGATAAATTTACTTATTTTGATAAGAATTCATAGTTATTGATAATATGACCAATAAACATGACCTACTGATTTAAATTGTTTTTAATAAAAAAACTACTTTTTGTGACTAAAATATGAAAGTTAGACATATACTGTCGCTGACTTTTTTGTAGGCATTATTAAGCTCTACAATTTTTCTCTAGAACATAATCATTTATCTCTCATCGTAAGAAACGTTTTCGTTCGACCGTTTTTTCTCCGACTTACTTTGCAAATCCGACTACCACGAGAAAGTCTTTTTATTCTTCGGGTTAATATATAGCGTATGACACTCAGAAAGAACGTGGCTTTTTATTGGTAAAAGAACTTTGAAAATCGATTCAGTAGATCCAGAGACTACCCCCTACAACATTACAAACTCACAATATTACAAACTTTACCTCTTTATAATGTTAGTATTGATATATATGTATAGATAATATCTTTATGCATCCAAATACTTTTTTGTAGTCTGAACGCGGGCAAAATTGGTTGCTCTCCTAGTAATTAATATGTAAAAAATTTAATTCAGTTCATTTGGCAGATTCATTTTCAATTTACTATAAGGTCGTGGCAGTGGATTTTTGACGAGTCTTGGGATTTGTTTGGGAATATGGTAGAAATGTAGCAGCAGGGGGTCCAACGCAACCAATAAAATTTTGAAACTGGTCTACGAGAAAAAAAGGTAGTTAGTAACCTCTGATCGTACAAAATATGATTGGGAAAAATGGTAATTTTTAATTTGTATTTAATGGGGAAGAATTTTATCTTTTTCTCCCGCCAGATGTCGCGATCACTATGACCCCCAGTATATTCTATAGCGTGGATGTTTTTTTTTTCATTTTATTTAAGTGCCAGGATGCAAAGAAAATGGATTTGTTTCCAAAAGATATTGTGGAATAAAAGCAAAAAAGATGACCAAAGCTGCCGAAATCACAATATTTATATTTAAAGTTATGTGAACATCATTCAAAGAAAATGAATTTAAAACTCTTAAATTGTCTTTAGATGTATATATTTTTGTAACTTGTTACATAATACATATTAATTTCATTTCATACAAATTTTCATCCTCAATTTTACCACCTTATGGGATTGAATTTCGAAAAATGCTGAAACAAGTTTTTATTTAATAGGGTCTTGGACTATTTTATGAAAAGTATCTCAGCCTATTGTTTACATAAATAAAATGCTGGTAAAACTATTTTCCCGCAAAAAATACTGTTCATATATTAAAAAATTGAAAAATATTTGTCACTTTTGAAATTGGCGCTAAAACGCGACTCTCAAAGTATATTGCTACATATATAAGCCACTTTTAATAACCATCGACTATCGAGCCGCCGAGCGTGACGTCACTTATCATAATTCATACAGAGCGTGTGAGTGTTATACACTAAATCGACCCGATCAGCCCCGGCCGAGCTCCATACAAGCGCATATTCATAAAACCGAAGGCGAATAAGACGAAGCGGGGGCCGGGGGGGTCAAGATAGTCAAAGAAAGATTTTTCCCGATTTAACCATTATAAATTAAAAATAGCTACATGGGATATGTTAATTAATATCTTATTATATTATAAAATATACTTAAGTTAAATATGCTTAAAATGTTTTTTTTCATAAATCATATGTGCTATATATTGATTTATATAATTATATTCTAAATGATTTTAACTATTATCGAATATCTTATATTTTAATTATATTTCATATCAAACATAAAATATCTATTAACATAGGTTTTTATGTTATAAAAATTGATTTTTATTTTAGAGCTGTGTCATGAATTTGCCTTAATATGGGGACAGTTATGGCATAAATGGCAAGTCAAAATATGCTGTCACTTTCACGGCTATTGTATTTCTTTTGAGTCGCCACGCATCTCTTTCTAAGGGTATGACGTCATATGCGAATCTGGGAGAATTTAGTTCGTAGTGATGTAAAAATCGGTATTCATTACGATTACGTAGGGATGTATTTTATCGTAATGTTATCGGTATTCAACAACTGTTATCGGTTTTATAGTAAGGTTTTCATTTTTATGATATTAATTATAATTAGAAATAAAATACAAAGATAGGTTTCTAGTTTTTTATTTTACTATTTTAATGCTACCACTAGTTCGGAAAAATGCCTCAGACCTGAGAAGAATTAGCAAGGACTGAGGTCCTTGACGGGATAACCTTTTTTTTCTTAACATTTATAATACATTGTTATTACAATAAAAGGACATTTTTAAAGAATTTTATCAATTGAATACAAAATACAAAAGATATAAATTAGTACAACGATTTGGTATAAAATATTACAATGCAATAAAATTAGAAGTAACATAGAACAATAGTTTTTGTTAATAACAATTTCATATTAAGCGAGTAGTAGGTTTAATTGTAGGTATAAATTAAAATCTAGCTTTTGTTTGAAGTTTTAGCTCTAGAACCACCTTCATCTTCAGTTTATAAAATGCAAAGATTCGAGATTAGCGCATTTGAAAAAACAAACATTTTAATCTTATATATATTTAAAAAAAATGCAAATTTCAGTAAAAAATGAATAATAAAATTAATTTTCTTAAAAGCTTAAGAAATTTAAAATCAATATGTACATAGTAATAGTAAAAATTTGGTGTAAAAAGAAATAACAGCAAAACATACTCTAAAATAAAATTTCTAAATGCATAGTTCTATCAAATGTAACAATTATAATTAATATATTAAAATTATATACTGCTATAGTAGTATATTTTAAGAAATTATAATATTATTTCACAGAAATCAAATGAAATATTCATACATTATTTTTATACTTAATAGAAACATAATGAAAATGGAAAATTCCAAGTGATTATCTTTTAAATAACCAAGAAATGAAACAAACAAGAGTAATAAATATTAAAAGTTAATTAACGAAAAAATATTGGAAAATCATTCACTACTCTGAAGACTAGATGAGTTCAACCATAGCTAGGCCCTTCTGAAACTTTCATATTAAGCAAATTTTCTATTTCCAGACCCTTTTTTCTCGAATCCACTTTATGCATTCTTCAATTAAAATTTATACACCTGTGTCTAACTTTTATACATATCATAAATAATGAGAATGCTCTTAAAAATATTTCTCTATGATCTACACAAGTGTACCAAGAGGTATCAAGATTTTCAAATGCTTTTATTAAATCGGGAAATATGTAAACTTTACAAATCTTTGGTAATTGTCTTTCAATTATGTAAATTGCATACCATACTAGAGATGACAGATTCTTAGAAGGATCATGTATTTTATTATTAATGAATAAAATAATCTCAGCTGTGAATAAGCCATTCTCAATATTTACATTTAATGTATTACAATAATTGTGTTCTTCCTGGAAACTAAAAGCCTTTATCAGGAGACTTATAGATGTTGAAACACTTCAACTGCTGAAACACCTGCACAGCATATACTTCACCTGTAAATATATTATTATAATAAATTAATGTAATACAACAAATAGTCACCATAACTATATAGTATATGAACTAGTAACTACTGTAGATGAATAGTAGCTTATTTAAATATAGTAATAGTTTAGTATTATTAGGGTCTAGGTAGATAAGCCAATTAGGCCCTTAAATAGCTGTTAACATTATACAATAGATAGGCTATAGAGTTGATAAATTGTTTTTAATGGACTGAGCATTACATGGATAAGTGCATTCAAACAATAAACAAACTATTCAATTTTACATATTAGAATAGAATAGTATAATAATAAATAGTATAATAATATCAATAGCTTCAAGAAGTTTCCTTCTTAAAAACAATTTCATATTAAAGATAATATCCAAGATCTAAAGTAATATAATAATATCTTAATTTACTAAACTTAACAATATAGTTACCTTCATCTTAACAAAAGAGTTTGGATAAATATGCCTGTCAGTAAGTTTGTTAGCCTTGCAGCACCTTTATGGTCATCTACTTTATACAACATATAAACATAATCCCACTGAGCACGCTGACTGCCTAGGAGCAAATTCTTTTTCTGAAAATTATTACTGAAACATTTCAGTAAATGAGGTACATCATACTTATGATAGGTTTTGTTCCCACTTCCCATTAACTTCATAATGAATAGCACTTGATGCATCATTGGCACTACAAAGTATATTTACCTTAGTATCAGAAATTAATGAATTTATTGCAGCTACATTGGCAGAAACCTGGTCAGATAGAGTTACTCTAGAAATAAACCGTTTATAAGAATTTCTATAAGTATACGTTATAAAATTGAAGTGCATCTTTATAAGGCATTCTATGGCATGAAAAACCTTCTGTTCCTTCCTGACAATTCGGAATTACAATGCTTTCCTATGATTACACAACATTAATAAAAAACCAAAAAATGAAGAAAAACACTAATGAAGAAATAACAAATTTTGTATCCAAGCACAAATCTTAACTATATCACTGATCTACATTAATCAGCTCTTATCCACATTAATTAATACTAATCTACAAATTGATAAAATGTAAATTTTAAGTATAAAATAATATAAAAAACGGCAAGCCCTCACACCCTAGTTCCTTTATATATGTAGCAATATACTCTATGCTAGTCCCCAGGGGCGAGTAATAACGACGGTTAAAACTTGAATATTTCAAAAATGACAAAATATTGCAGTGACGTCACAGTAGTGACGTATGTAACTGCGACAGAAATAAGTTGTTGTCCCACTCGTTGTCGCCAAATGTAGAGATAGCATGCTAGTTACCAAGCAAATGAAAGGGATAGATAGATCCACCAAGAGCTCGTATGGAACTAATTCATCTATTTTATTTGTCATCCATGGACCCGATTATATTCTGTAATTTGTGGTCTCGATCGATTAATTATTAATAGAAAAGGGAACAAGAATGTCGAAAATGAGTACAATTAAGTATTATCAGTATTGTTCAGTGCCCTTATGTATAAATAATACCACTAAGACACCTGAGAAATTGTTTATACCTGTGCCTCAAAATATAAATATGCGAAAAAAGTGGATGAATCTGGCAAGGCGAGATTGGAAAAACCAATCCATAACATCAATGATTTACTTCTGTGAAGATCATTTTGATGTAAGTATGCTTTACATTATAAAATATTCATTGAACTATACTAAATAGTAAATACTTACATATTTCCAGACGTTACACTGGTCACTGCTAAACTGTATTTTATTATGATGTTAAGCTTAGAGATTATTTAGGTTCCTTGGATTATGTTAAGACTAATGAGATTTTTACATCTTTTTTCAGCTACCTAATGATATGGACAATTATATGCAATACAGAATACAAGGATACATAAAGAAGATTCGTATGAAAGAGGGATGTTTACCCTCAAGGTTTACCTGTCAACCAGATAGAAAGAGAACAGCTCCAAGTACTGATCGTAATGTTATTGTCAAGAGGCAAAGAAAAACATTAGTTGAAGAGGCTCTGAAAGATGTAGCAAATAAAGGAACATCTGAATGTACAAAAGATAGTGTAAGTGTGTGTAAGTATGGAGATGTCTTTTTATTTTTTTATATATACTTATTAAATTAAATTAATAATTAAATTATAAAAGAATATGTTGTAAATCTGTGTTTATCATATGTAACTGTTAGTATAGATTTCTCAGAGATGATCATATTTTCCCACAGTAAAAAGTATCCTATATGTTGACTCTGAAAACCAGTTATTATAATACCAAATTTCATCAAAAATCAGTCCAGTGGTTTTCTCATGATGTGTTCTCATATATACACAGACATAGGTATATATAGATAGACACAGATGAAAATTCTAAAAACTATAGATTCTGTGTCTGTATCGATAATAATGACTATATCAAGGTTTTCCAAAAAATATTATGTACAGATTCAATTTTTATTTTATTATATAGATGAGATTGTGCTGTAGATAGTATATCTATCTGTATATATTAACTGCTATATATTAGGGTATCTGACCAATAGCTGTGTAGTCTCTAAGTGTTATCAAGGATATAATAGTGATTCATTATGTTTATATTTTTATCCTGTTAAAAATTAAAATGTATTCTATTTTTTTTCTTTATAACTGTTTTAGATTTAATACAAAATAAAGAAGAACCTAAAGAAGATACACAAACTCTTATGGAAAACCCCTCAGCATCACAGGAGAAATCTATCCAAGTACATATTTGTCATAAATACAGAAGTAAAGGAATAGGGTCTTAGACTGTAGTAATAAAATGATGTGATATTTTGTATAGCGGTAGTTTATGGGGCTTGAATTCATTATTAAAATGAATAATTAATAATCATGATTTTTCTTTATTTTTAGCATAGTTATTTTTTTAATATCAAAATCACGTGACACAACACCAAAATAACAAACGGCAATCACGGTGCATGACGTCACTTGTCATTGTCACTACTCTGTTGTTTCATGTGTGTAGTTTTGATTTTCTTTTTGATTTAGCTCTCAAAGCAACAACGGGAAAAAGTGCTTTATGTTCCTTAATATAAGTCTGAATTTACAATAAAGATTATAAAACTTACGAAATGATCGTAAGTTTGTGATGATAATTTGAATATTTGTGACTTTATTGCAAGGTGCTATGGTGTTGATTAGGTTGAAAATAAAATATAAGACTTTGTCTTGGTTCGTTAGTATACAAATGAAGCTGTATAAGTGCATATTCGCGCGGACAGAATTTAGCTTTGAGTTTGTATGTGACACGTTATCTAGTAGTATTGTTGATGAAGCAGTTGTAACTTGAAAGTTAAAAAAATGATTCCTTATATAAATGATTCCCTGTATTCCTTTTAATAATTTATTCTAGCCCCATAAACTACCGCTATACAAAAAATAACATTATTTTATTCCTACAGTCCAAGACCATATTGCTCATTAAGTAATAATAATTAAATCTATAACAAATGTTCCTGTATACACAAATGTCTTTTTAATATGGATCTTAAATTAACTATTAAAATGATCATCATATATTATATGCATATAATAATATTACTAATATTAAATTTAATTTAGATGTTTGGATGGATGTTTGTTACTCAATCACGCCAGAACGGCTGAACGGATCTGGATGAAATTTAGCACAGAGATAAATTATAGTCTGGAATAGCACATTGGCTACTTTCTATCTCGGAAAATTGTACGGTTCCCGTGGGATAGGTTTGTTTTTTTCTAGACTATAATAGTGTAGGATCACTAATAAAACTTCGAGATATTCTTTGCTTATATTCTTATATTCAGTACTTTTATAATCGTCAGTGAGTGACATAATTTATAACCCTAATTTTCAGTATTATAAACAATTCGTGACTAGTCACTACAGGGTGGTACCGACATTTCTGTGCCAAAGCGCGGGAAAACAAATGAATATGCGCGCCCTTATTTTATTTTTTAAAAACACATTCCTAACGTCCAAGGTCACATAACTAAATGCCTTATACATAAATAATTACAAATTAATCAAATATATTATTTTCTATTAAAACGCTCAATATATAAAAATGCAACCTTACAATAGTTACTTTTTAAGCAAAAGAATATAATGTAACACAGGCCTGCGATGGTTTTAACCTGGCAGTTTAATTTCGCAGGTTTGTGTAATTATAATAAAATTATTGTACTGAGATAGTGGATCAATTAATGATTTAAAACTATATTTCAGTTCCATCAATTGATTTGTTGAAGCGGAAAAGCATTTTTTTTTAAATTGGACTCAATTGATTTTGAGAAGTGGGCAAATACCATTTTACCAAAACTAGAGACTTTGTTCATGTAAATACCATAGAATATAATTCAAACTTATTCACATGTTTTAAGACCCCCTCCCCCCTGCCCCCTCCCCCATGAGCTCTTTGTTTATCTTTAAATAACTACCTAGACCTATGTACATAGTATAGTTGCATTATATTATATTCCTTAAAATTTGAGAGTGCTCTCAAGTCTCAATCAACTCACTACATCATGATGATACAGAGATTTCTTTTTCAAATATGATTTTATTTTTGTGTGTAGTTTCCTTATTTACTTAATGTTTCGTTTCCGTTTTCTATTGATGTGAAACATCTATTGGCGCGCCTTGGCAGTAAAACAGAATCGTGACGACAAACAATTTACGATGGCGTGACGCAGCGCTGTCACGCCGTCGCTGTCACGCCATCATACCCTGTTCTACGCCACCGCTCTCGACACCCATGAGTGTGCGCGCGCGTATATTTACAGTATACACTTTGTTCCTTCTCTTTTGAGCTGCAATGTTTCTAACCGACTGTAGTATACTTGACACGTTTACCGCTTGTAAATATACACGCTTTGTATTTTTCTTTAAAATATTATTGTTTTTGAATCAGATAAAATAATACTGAATAGAAGTATGAGTGACAGTGACGATCAAGTGACCAAAAAGAAACATGATGATCAAAGTGCAGGCTGCAGTAAAATATTTGATACGTGTGCACAAAGTTTACTTTACGGAACACAATCTGCCGATTCAAACCAAAGGTTAGAAAATTCTGTATTAAATATAACAACTACTATTCTATTTGTTTATTTGAGAAATGTGTGTTTACATTGTACTCAGTACTGTCAATGTCAATAAGCTGACAATCTTTCTGGCTTCTGCGCATGCGTGCGTGCAAAAACCTATCAACTAAAAAAGTATAAAAACAAAGATTTGTTCTATAAAATACACACTCTTTCTCGAAGAATTTACAGACTTTAAACTCATTTGTTAGTTACTTTAGGACTAAAGCTTTCGATATTTAAAAATCTTCGCAGTTAAAACTATAAAATACCTGTATAATAATTTTTAGCACACAAAAATATACAATCAAAAATTTCGACCATTTTGAGTCTTTTAAAAAATAAAAATGTCAAAGTTAAGGATGTCCTATTTGATAATAGTCAGAGATAATATATTTGTAATGTTAAGGTTAATTTATTATAAAAATACTATTAATTACAAATAAAAAGGATCGTTAAAGTTACTTATATTTAAAACGTGCTATTAAAGACCTTTGATTAATATGTTGTCCTATACCTCAGCTAACAGATAAAAAATTGAAAATATTATCTTAAGCATTACTTTGTGTATAAACAACTAAAAATAATGTTTTATTTACTTTTACGGTTGCATTTTTTTCATTTATGTTTTTTTTATTAGGGGGTGTCCATTAATCACGTGATCTTTTTTTAGCATTTTTTAACCCCTCCTCCCCCATTGGTGATACGTAGTGAGGTTTAAGACCACCCCCCCTCCCCCTTCTCAACATCACGTGTATTTTTAGTACTTTCAACGAATCTTAAAATTTTCTGAATATTATCTTAATTTAAATACAGGTATAAACTATAATCTAATTTTATTCTGAAATTAAGGACCATAATAAAAATGTCTACACCAGGTTGCAAGTTTTTTTTTATTGCCATAACAATGATAATAAACGAAGAGTGTAATCATAGGAAAAACATGTATTGTACTAGTACATGAATATATTTAATGTATATTGTCCTCGAACCACGGATTAGCAAGACATTCTTCAACACTAACAACTGGATAAGTGTCTTGCAGGTGTTTGACGAAAAAATAAATACACGAGATATCTTACTACACTCCCCCTCCCCCTTGTGTTATTTTCGTGATTTTTATCAAACCCCTCCCCCCCCTTTCAAGCCTCACGTGATTAATGGACAACCCCTTATTTATATGTGGCCTAATTAAGTTAACGTAAGTATGAAAACTTTGTTTAAAATCAGTCAATTTTATGTTGTCGCTTGTTTTTAAATCAATATTTCATTCATCAATCAATGTTAACGCAGGTGTCCCTATTCACTAATATAATATTTTTATACAAAACAATAATTATAATTTAGTAGTAAAATTAATAAAATTTGACTTTACTTTTTCAGTACACAAACAATGAAAGATGTAGGTGATATTATGATTGAAACCAATAATGACCAAGATTCATTTCATTCGGGGCAAATTATACGAGTGAGGTATTGATATTTATTTATAATCAATAATTATTTAGTAATGTTTCAACTATTTTTAACATATTATACTTGTAATTTAGAGTGGGCAAAAATCCTGCTGAACGTAATCGTTTGTATCGAGAGCGACACCGAGAAGAGATCAATCAGCGAAGAAGAGAAAACCGGCAACGTAAAAAAAAATCTCAACAAATACATAGAGTATCTATTATACAGAACATAAACGAAATTGAACAAATTACTCGCACACCATCCAATAATCAACGTTCAAGTTCGTATACAAAGAGACAAAAACGATACTACGAAAGTCACAAAGAAGAAATAAACAAGCGCAAAAGAGACCGTAGGCTAAAGCAAAATATTTCACAGACGATTCCTGCTACCGCTGCTGAACGTAATCGTGATTATCGAGAGCGAAACAGACAAAAAATTAATGAACGCAGAAGAAACAGTAGGCTGCTTCAACAAAATGTACAGCGTGTACGTACCTATTATATACAGAATGTAATGTAAATAACATAGACGTTATTAAACAAATTACGAAAGCAACACCAAATAGCCAATATAGATGTTTCACATCTGCCGAGCCCCGATCCCGTGCGTGGACGGACGGCTTGTTTACTTTTATTTGAGTGGTTTTTTTTTAATTAAAATTTTGTAAAACTGTCGTCCACGTCTAAACTAGAATAATACAAATAGAGTGTCATATAACTAAACATGAAGCTAAACACAAATGTATTAAGATAATCCAAATCTTACTTACTAATAATAAAATATGAATGTCTTTCACGTCAAAATAGAGTGAAGGATTGGCGTGATTTGACGGATTACTTTTTATCGCGGGATATTTTCTCATTCCCACGGGAAAACATATACTAACCGTTAAAACGTACCTTGTACTCGTAATTCAATAAATCCTTAAATTCTATTTACAATGCAATTAGAGCCTGACAATACTTTAGCTTTCGTAGGATATTTTCTTACATAGGGATATATGTATATTTTGGGAATTTTACGTGACATTGGCAAAGTAATTTGTGCTCAACTGGCTTTGAAGCTATTAACAAAAGAATTGAATTGAATTAGATTTTGGGCTTAAGAGTAATCCGCTACTTTGCATCTTGCATACGTGGTTTCAAAAGTTAATGTTGTGTTATGTATATACTCGGACGAAAAGTATAGAGAATTCTGTAAAAATGTTTATACTATAGTACGATAGGTTACAACTGTGATAGAGCTTTGGACGGTGTAAAAACTCTCAGATCTGTGGAAATAAGACATCCGGAAGCCTGCGGATGAGAGTCTTTTATGTAGATTTTATTGTTATACTAAATCTATATCGTTTATTTAAAGAATTAATACCATATATTCCATTTTACTAGGTTTTGTTTGCAATTTTACGTTAAAGCGCTATTTGTTTTGGACTGAACTTTGCTAACTGACATAGATAAAATTCGTTTTTATTAAAAACAAACATACAAAAATATGTCTATTATTACATTTTCAGTGCCTAACTTAAAAAGAGACCCTTCAATATTGCAAAAAAATGATTCATTTTTGGTTGTTCTATCACCAAATATTATTTCATTAATTTTACTTAAAAAACTTTTTAACAAAAAAATAAAAACCGACTTCAAACAAAAGCACTAAAAAGTAAAAAATAACTGATTGGTAGTTTTCATTTACTATACATACCTAATCAAATATTTTCGAAGTCGGTGTGCTTTGCTTTGTATGGGCTGGCACCGATTTCGAAAATATTTGATTAGGTATGTATTTAATAGGTAGGCTTTAATTACTTAGCCAAAGCACACCGACTTCGAAAATATTTGATTAGGTATGTATAGTAAATGAAAACTACCAATCAGTTATTTTTTACTTTTTAGTGCTTTTGTTTGAAGTCGGGTTTTTTTTGTTAAAAAGTTTTTATTTTTCCCTTTTTAGTGTAGACAGTAGTAGCAAAGTAAGGATTCTAACGTGTTAGGCTTGTCAAATCAAACAAAATAAGCCCAAACTCAAAGTATCTACTATTAGCCGTTGAAGCGTTCCACCTATCCACCTTCTGGCCTTGCCATCAGATCAGGTCAACAACACCGAACCACTGTACTATCAACGGAAATAGAAATACTTGCAAAGTTTCAAGTCAATATGATAATTAGAAGTAGGTTAAATTCATCATTAGTTGTTTTTCCACCCTTAGGGGTGGTATTTTTTTTTGAAATTTAAATGGGACCAATCTGGAAGTATACCCTTTCAAACGAAAAAAAAATTGTCCAAATCGGTTAATAAATAACGGAGTTCTGAGGTAACAAACATAAAAAAAAAAACAGAACATACAGTCGAATTGAGAACCTCCTCCTTTTTGAAGTCGAATGTTCCTATGATCAGAGCCTTGTTCATGTTGTCGGTTGCCGTCCTCTAAATCCATATAGATTTTAGAATATAAAATTACTTATATACTCGTAATTATAGAGTTTAGATAGAAATAATAATTAATTATTCAATTAGCTACCTCTATGTGTATCTTTAATATATTAGGCAGGTATATAAGAATTGATATACATATTAAATATTTTCTTTTTCATCTTCTTTTAGGTATTTCACGAGGTGATCAAACCCGACCCGGACGCGCTTGAACAAGACGAGAACAATTCTGGCAGCGACGATACTTATAGAAATAGCAGCACGATGTTTGAGGAAAAATTAGTTTTCAATGACATAGTACCCATATTAAGGGAAATGGCATCCTATTTGCAAACGATGGCAAATAAACAAGAAGATACCTTTGAAAGTTTCGGCACGTACGTAGCAACCATGCTGAGAAACATGCCTGAACAAAATTCGATGGAATTGCAGCTACAGATAGTAAATCTATTGCAGAACATATAAAATTTAACCACCCTTAAATGATGCTGGAGAAAAATGTTATGCTGATTGTAAAACGTTTTTTAGGATTATTGTCATAATTAAATATCATTTTTTATTATAATTACATATTTTATTTTTAATTTTAAGATATAATGTAAATCATACTACTTTTTAAAAGCAAAAGTTTCTACTTCTGTACATACATAATATATAATACGTTTGATACGCTCACGCTGAAAGGGCAGAACGGATTTGAAAATGACCCACTAAAACCCAACAGAACCTCTCCCATCTTATTCACATACGGGGAACTATGAACTTGGAGTGATGTTCTCCTAGCCGATTCCGGCTACGGCGGCCAATCTCATTGAGACTAGCCAACTGCGCAGGAGATATTATAGTGCACAAGTGTACGCGCAGACACAAGTGCACTCTCTATTCCTATCACTCTCATACTCCGGTGGGACGACTGCTCGACACGACCGGTGAGGTTAAGGCGCAGGATCGACGGCTTTACGTGCTCTCCGAGGCACGGGGGTGAAACACCGCCAACTTCCCAACTCCGGGCTGTTACTGAGGGCTTAATATACAGAAAGACTCAATATCTGAACTTGGCCCGACCCGGAACTCGAACCCAGGACCTCCGGGCGTGCAGCCGTACATGCTAGCCACTACACCACCGAGGCAGTTAAGTAGAACTAGGAGTATAATATAACCAGTGGCTGCTGATAGTAATAAATTTTGCCAAATACAAATCGTCTGTATCATAAATCTAAAATTAAATAGCATAAAAGAGAAAATATATTGCATGTAGATATAAAAGTTAAATTAGTGAGTCAGAAATAATAAAAAATTGGCGCCGGTCGCGGGTTCAATCCCCTCCGTCAAGTGTAGGTATATAGCAGGTATAGATTTTTTTACAGTAATCAGTTGAAATAAAAGAATACATTTTGTTAAGAGAGTAGGTAATAAAAGAAAAAAAAGTAGAAAAATCAGACGTTTCGGTTTTTTATTTTAATGATAAATACTTATATGTATTTATTTCATATATACCTCTTTTATCTTAATTCAATCCATTTGAGAAGTTATTTTTTTTCTAAAAGCCGCTCCTTTCTCAGCGTTCACTGTGTCTGTGCAAGATATGTAGATATTAAGATCGTTTTAGCAGTTTTGTCGTGAGAACTAATGTGACATAAGTACACATGATAAAATATTGACACCCCTCGCTGTAATATATGTAAATACTAGCAAAACCCGCGGCTTCGCTCGCGCTAAAACTACAAAGAAAACTCTAAAATGGTTGGTTTCATACAAACTTTCATTCGTTATTTTACCCCCTTATGGGATAATTTTCGAAAAATGCTAAAACACGTATTTAATTAATTGTATTGATAAGCATTTATACCAAGTTTCAAGTAGAGTCATAAATAGTATTTTTTGGATTGTATTATAACGTGTTTTCCCGTGGGAAAGAGATAATCTCCCGCGGTAAAAAAATCACGCCAATCCGTTTCGACGTGAAAGAAAGAGAAACAAACACACTTTCACATTTATAATATAAGTACGGATATGTAATTAAAAACTTAATATTCTATATATATATATATATCTATGCGAGTAGGTATTATCGATTATTTACTATCTTGAACTTTTTCTATGCAGAAATGTTGATTCAGATAACCTCATGTTCAATCTTTAGGTATCTAAATAATGAGTAGAAATCCTTCTCAAATAAATATTTAATTAGTGTAATACATCATATAATATTATATGTACAAAATTTAAGCAGTTTCTGAGTTTGGAATAAGAATTCATATGTGTCAAGAATCATATGTTTCATATTTAATATCCGTATTTATCCGTATTTTTAATATAGTTTCACAAAATTATAACAATCGATAATTAAATTATCGGCAATAGAAATATTATTAGATATTAATATTAGATAGTATCACATAATTCTGAGTAAATAACATGTTTTTAAATTGAAAGGGTGTTAAATAAAACGATGCATTAAAAACAATAAAATAGATTTTCATTTATTGTGAGACGAAAAATACAACAATGGGACTTATCACCTAAAATGGTTAGTGGCAGACTGTCATGTAAAAACAATTTATTGTTAGGTAGAGGCGGGCAGCCCGCGCCCTACGACACAGTAGACTCCTAATATATGTCTTTCATCGGAAAACTGTACGTAACGAATATCAACGAAAATATAGCAATATTATACACAAAACGTTTCCATGACCTCTCTATTTACTGAAACCGTAACTAATATTAATATTTAAACATGTGAACTTTCAATAGTTTTCATTTTTAACTAAGTTTTTTTAAAAAGGCTTTATTGATTCGAAGCTAATACTTGATTACTTACAAGATTGTTTAATAATTTAGTAGTGATCGCGCCGGGCGTCCGTCGCTCTACGTCTAGGCGAGGAACAGCTCTCGTGCAACGGAACGCGCCTACATACCTCACAAAATAAAACGTAACAACTCTCAATACCGCTACTATGAAACGTTCTATACAAAATTGAACATTGCCGATTCTAATCGCTCGATCATCATTACCATTACGTATTACTAAAACAAGTGTGTTGCGAGCGGTCGGCCGCTGTCGTGCGACTCTCGGTTCAACTCGTCACTAGGTCCATTAAGTACATGTCTTATTCTTATATGTAATTCGAAAATGCCACTGTTGCGAACCTACGTCGCCTATGCGTGTGCGCGCGCGCCGCGTCCTCCCCCGCGTCGGTCCGCGGCCGGGCGGCCTTCGAAGGCGCCGGGGCGGCGCGGCGATGCTCGTAGAGAAAATATTCCAAAATCAATACGTTACACCGTAGACTATATTTTTGTTGAATAAACTTGAAGTATTTATCGATAATCAATAAGTACATTATAATAATTGAATAATTAGTATTTTGTTTCATAAGAGACTAGCATTACAAATAAATACCTTCAGCTATACAATTTAATGTTTATTTCTATTTAAACATATTGAAGATGTTCAAAGTGGACTACGTCGGTTTTTACACAAGAAAGCGGTGATCGGTTCTTGTATAGAAACTTTTCTGTTGATGCGTCTACGCTTCGAGATATGACTTAAATATATACTTAGAATTAGGGAAAAGGTCGTAAAAACAAAAAGTTATTGAAATTTATAACAAACACCTTAACTAATACTTCAATAATTTAGTTAAGTATAGGAGGCGCGCGGGTGGAGCGGGGGGCGGGGGGCGGCCGACGCGCCGCTAATATCACTCGGCGTACGTACAAACGATGATGCTGCGCTACAAATGAAATAACTTTATACAAAAGATGAGTCGAGGCCGCGCGGCCCGCCCCCTCCCCCTGTCCCTGCCCGAGACGCGCCGCAACATGTCTTCGACAAAAGCAATATAAAACATTTCATTCCGTGTAAGAGACGACACGACGCTACGCGAAAATTTTATTTTTATTTTCAAAAAACACACGCCCATTCGCTCGTCCTCGCGCTTAAATCTAAAATTAATCATTAGACAATATTTATTCGTTCAACAGACGCGCGCGACTGGCGCGACGCGTATAATAATAAAATATTTTCAAAACAATCGAATAATTAAACACACTAGTTAACAATAACTCGCGCTCGAGCGTCGGCGGCGGGGAGGCCCGCGTCCGCCCGCGCTCGCCGCGGTCGGAACGAATACGTGCATGCTCGTTAAAAAATATCCTATACACAATCGATTACGCAGTCGGAGCGATGGCAGCGATGTGGCGGCGACACGGCGGCGACGCGGCGGCGCGACGGCGGTTAGACGGCGGTCTCCGTGTGGCTGTGGCTGGAGAGACGCTCGACGTCCAGGTCGTGGGGTGCGAGGGCGTCACGGGAGGCGTCCGCATAATCAACGCTGGAGGAGTGCGAGTAGCGCTTGGAGAGCGCCGTCTGCTTGCGCAGCGCCTCCGCGAGCGCCGCGTCCGCCAGCGAGCCGCGCGAGTCCAGCCCCTGCCGGAACGCGTTCACCACGCGGATCTGCCCAACGCCCAACCCGACCGCTTAGTTTTACTCCCATTTGTTATCATATCCAGCTCTGGCTCACTCATCATTGCTATATGATACTTGTTAGTTTGCTCAAAAGTTTGCAACAATTTTAAGAGGTTTGTGGTAAGCTACCAGGTATTGGAGTATCATATAGAAATCACGATTTACACTAGCTCTTTTTATAGACAAAATAATTATTTGCAAGATTTGGAAGGTTTATGTGAATAATTTACATTTAAAGGCTCGTTTATAGAAAGAACTAGCGAACATATAACAGTTTTGTACGGATTTGCAGTCACATGTGAAATTTGGAGATGTTACAAGAGGGTGTGCCAATAATGTACTGCGCAAGGGAAGTGTACATTTAATTTACAGATACGTGCCTTAGGTGGACCACTTTTGCATATGTCATCTAGGAACGTATCTCGTTACGTACAATTAAAAAAGTAGTGAGCCAGAGCTATATAATAAAAAAATATATGGTGAAACCTTTTGATTAGTCACTACTAGTTTGTCATGGTTAAACAGCAGTAGGTATATGTTATGGAGAATTAGTAATGAAATATTTTGTTTATGCCATGGAAACGAGAGTGTAAATCAGAAGGGTGCGCCGTCACATAAAATGGAAAAATGTACATTTGTTGGAAAACAAATAGAAGCACACCGAGCCATTAAAAGAAAGGCGAGAAGCGGTAGGTATTTCAAAAATCCAGTCACAGATAATCCACGCGCAGCCGGAGATGGGGTCAAAGGTCCAAAAAAGCCGTGAAAATTGTGTTAGTTATACTAAAGCTCTTCAGTTAAGTGTCAATTTGACCCTATCTCCAAAACATTGGTGACGGTCCGCCATTGCAGGTCGAGGTGCTGGCGATCTGCCGGCCGCTCCCACGCATGCCATGCAGTGATATATGAACTACTTGCTCCTGCCTTCGCTGTATACAGACATCAGGTGGGTGATTCTTCGTATCTTATAATTTCGGTATCATTTCATATCGCC